TGTCTGTTTCTCACCACACAGCCCAGCCCAGCCCAGCCTCTTCTCAGCTCCAGCAGCACTGGCAGGTTCCCGCCTGCTCATCATGGACCTGCTGCTACTCTTTCCTGAGCAGGAAAGTTACTAAATATTGAACAAAGGTTTGGCTGGAGTTTTATCCTCTAAATAAATCACAGGCTTGAGCGGCCGTCAACAGAACTTCGTTGTGCTGAGCTAAGGAAATCAGCTGTGCTTTGCCTTTGATCTTCCCTTACAGCTCTACTCTCCCTTCTCTTGGTCCGTGGCATTAGAATAAATAGTTTGGTAAATTAGTTTGCTTTGTACTTTGTATCACAGAAGTACTTTTCATCATCTCTCTCTCCCCCCCCCCATCCTCAAGCTCCTCTCTGCTCCATTCCTAAACAGCCAGGCCTTGAGAGAAAAGTGGCCTGACTTATCTGCTGAGTGCCCATTGAACGTGAAGCCTGTATGAGTCAGGACCCCATCTCTCCCTCTCCTGTTTCCCTGCCTTCATGTATTATAGATAGCTTGGCTGTCAGAGAGCCCAGCTCACTGCCTCAATAATTGATGCGCTGCAGCTCCTACCTTCTGCGGGCTCCTGGGTGCCTGCCACAGCCATAGCTGCAGCAGCACACTAGTTCTGGGGGGACTTACTTATCCATGGCTACTTGCAAAGAGAGAGAGCAGGATAATAGTAAAGAAGCAAGCTCGGGCACGAGCTCTCATCAGAATGGAGCGATTTTGCAAAGGGAGCATCCAAGGTTGCTGGACTTTCAGCAGAGTTGATGGGGATGGTCTGAAGTTCTATCTCTTCCTCTCCTGGAGCCTGATGGAGCGGCTGCTGATAGATGGCGCTTGAGGGAGGAGTCTGGATGAAGTTGGTCTTTCTGAGTGGAGCAGATGGAGAGGGCTAGTCATAGTACACAGAAATCTGTAACTTGCAGCCAAGAGCCAGTCAGGAAACGATACCTGGGAGGCAGACAGAAGGTGCCTAAGCTTCTTGAGACTCAGCCCACCTACTTAGCTGAAGTGTTAGAAGAACAGCAAGGATAGATTGCAGCAGCCCAGTATTCAAGCTCTCCGCCTCTTCAGGTTTTGTTTCTTCCCCATCTTCAGATTTCATCACATTTTTCACCACGCCCTCCTAATCTGGCTCCCTCGTCAGCTTTGTAAAAGTCTGCTTTCACAGCATTTGTTGCACAATCCCATGTGTGCTTACTCTGAAAAAAGTTTCATTGTGTTAAATGGAGCTTCTTCTCGAATAAGTGTGCATAGGACTGAAGTCATAGTCTTGTTTTATTTTCAACACACCAAGAGCAAGTGCAGATATTCCCCATAAAGAAAATCACTTGAGACTGAGGGATGGAAAGTAGACAACATGTAAGGGCTCCATATCTGGAGACTGTGTGAGAGAGAGCTCACCCAGCACTGAGTTGATGGGCTCCTCAATGCCAAGTATCCATAGATACATCCCATTGTGGTAGAGAGTCTCCCACTGTGTGTTGTTAGAGTACTGGAGCACGCTAGCATGCTCTGGGAAGGGCTGAGATGTGCCTTGGAAATATAAGGTCACTATATTGGCTGCTTCCACCATGATATGATCATTAGAGTAAGGTAGTTCTCTGCAATGTGGACCCATTTGTCAATAAATGGGCACCGATAGCAAGCCAAAGAAGAGGTAAGACCATGCCAGGATTTCCTGGACAACAGCTGGCAGGTGCAGTGGAATTCCAGCAGAATTGCTATTGTCCAGGAAGCAGAGCCCCATCCTTGAGCCATGTAAGGGGAAAGGAGGAAAGCTGAGAGGCAGTAGTAAGCAAGCAATCCAGATCTAAAGTCCATCTAGACTGGCAACACATTTCTAATATTGACCAGTCAGATGCCTCCAGGTAGCTTGTGTGCCAGCCACGAAGACACACAAGGGCCTTTCCTTGTTGTTTGTCTCTATCGTGTTCTGACAGCAAGCAAAAGCCCAGAGGTTAAGAAGTGGTCTCTGAGAGAGGAGAGGGAAGAAATGTTCAAAGGATGCCAGACATAAATCAGTCAGTTGCGAGAGAAGGGATTGTCAGAGTGCAGCAGCAGGACCTTGGACAGCACTGAGATAGAAACTTGCTCCAAAAAGATATCAAGACCAGCTGAGAGCCACACTAGAAACTATACCCTTGGGCAACTGTATGAATGGATGTTAAAGAAATTATTAAATAGTGGCAAGGGGGGGATCTAGATATGGATCCTGTTGAGAAGGGGGAATAGGGACTTTGCCCCTTACTGAGGTCTTGATCTGGTCTGCAGACTCCACAATGCTTTCTGCATTAGGAAGATGGCTCCTACTGATCCTGATCCTACATTGACCTTTCCATTGGGAAGAAAGCTCTTGTGGGTGCCCCAAACTGAACCAGAACCACATCAAGGGGCAAAGGGTCCAAATCTGGGTCTATTTACTCTAAAATCAGCATCAGCCTCAGAATCATTATCCACCCTTATTTTAGTTCCTAATTGTGCAAATGGTGTCACATCTAGTTTGACCCTGAGCCCATATATTCTCTCCTAGGCTGACTACCAATCCTAGGTCCCACAGACTCCGGGGTGCAGAAAGAGGTCTTCCTATTGCCTGGTGCTTTGTACCACATTGATCTTCAGTTGTCTTTAGTTAACATTGTCATATTCACCTAGTGTGGGGTAGAGTGGAGATCCATGAAGTCAAGGGTACTGCTTACTTGAGGGGTCCCAGCCTGAAGCTTTCGAGCTCAGCGAGCTCCATCCCAGGGACTGGGATCAGGTGTGGTGCCAGCTTCTGCATTTTGCATCTCTCTGGCTTGTGACACCAGACTCCAAGGTTCTCTGGGGCTTTGAGGTACCTCTTCTTCTGAAACAATGCTCTGATCACTGCTCCAAGGTGGGGCCATGGTACTCAAACACCTACTATTCAGATCAATGCAAACACCTACTATTCAGATCAATGCTATCTCTGCACTTTGGACTAAAGTTTGGTCCTATTAAAACAACTGAATGCAACCAGTTCTCCAGAATGTTTGTTGATTATTCTGACAGCTAATGAAGAAAATAGGTATGTATCTTTTGGAATGTAAATTATGCCTTCAATTTTAATCCAGAAAAAAAATGCCCCAGGCAGGTATAGAACATTAGGAAAATATGCTGTGAAGTAGTGGATATCAGGTGGAATCCGCAATCGTGGGGTGGTTAATATGGGCATAATCTTTTACTGGTATGCCTTTCAACTGTAGTGCTTTAATCTTGTCTAGCACTAGCAGCATAGAGTCAGGACGAATGAAGCATTTGTAAAAATAGCCCATGAGCCCATATGGTTACTTACCAGAAGAAACTGACTTTGTAGTCAGATTCTTGATTCTAAGACTGCTGCCATTTTTTAGAGGAAAGTTGTTTCATTAACCCATTTAGAACAGAATTGCCTACGACATGACTCAGACGGGTTGCCCTGATTCTGAAAGTCAATGTGTGTAATGTTCACTGTCATGATCTCTGCAGTGCTACAGCTCAGGGATAAAGCATTAGGAGGACTTGGGCAGGCCTAATTCAAGCCTTGGTACTGCCTGCTAGGGGATCTTAAGACAGTAGTTCTAGCAAAGAGAACCACTTCCAGTCATAAGGCACAGTACTGGTCTACATGGGCCAATTGCCTGACTGTGTACGAGACAGCTAATGATATATCCTTTATCATTTCATGTACTGTAGAACAGAACAGGCCCAAGCAGCATTGGAAAGCTTGCTGGTTTTATTATTCTAATAAGACGAATTAACCACAGGAGCTCTTGAAAGCAGTGAATATATTGGAAAATCTATAATCTTAAAAACCATTGTAAACAGTTAAAATGGTTAATAGGATTGGAATAACACTTCTGGTTTAATGATGAATTTTGGACACAATGGAGAGGTAAAATATTTTATTATTATAAAAGATGCAGGGGGAAATGATTAACAATAGGCCCCACAAAACAGAGGAGGGAAGTCCAGGAGATTCCTTAGAATCTTGTTTCTATGTTGTAAGTTGGATATGTGACTACAAATTTTTAATCTGAAAAACCAAATAAATATTTTTTTATATATAAATGACATTATAGGGTCCCTTCATACCTTCCCATGGTGATGGCCCATGATTCTGCAGTAATGCTTGAATGCCAAGACAGATAGGATAAAGTGCTTCATCACACAGTGCACAGTTAAAGTATGGAACAAACTCCCACAGGAAATGGCAGTGGCCACCAACTTGGATGGCTTTTAAAGAAGATTGGACAAATTCATGGAGGATGAGGCTATCAATGATGACTAACTTTGATGGCTATGTTCCATGGCTGGAGGCAGTGATGCTCTGAATCCCAGTTGCTGGAAACCACAGGAAGGGAGAGGGCTCTTGTGCTCGGGTCCTGCTTCTAGGTTTCCCACAGACATCTGGCTGGCCACTGTGAGAACAGGATGCTGGATAAGGTGAGCCATTGGTCTGTTTCAGCAAACTGTCCTTATGCTCTAAAGCCAGCGCAACCTGACCAGGAGACCCACACACAAAACATGTCCTTTCCACATGTTTCTGGCTTCTAAACATTATTCAGGAAGCTAACTGCCTTCTACTGACTCAGATCATTGGTCCAGCTAGTTCAGTATTCTCACCCCAAACGTGAGTCTCCAGATGTTTTTGGACTACAAGCAGTGCTTTTTTTCTTTAAAAACATTTAGGGGTACTCTCATTTTGACTCAAGAAAATCACCATTTTATAGTTCAAATCAGGGAAAATAAATACAGCAAATGGACAAAAGTACAAAGATTCACAAAATGTTTAGGGGTATGCGTACCCCTGCGTCTCCCCAGAATAAAAGCACTGACTACAAGTCCCATCATCCCTGACCACTGATCCTGCTAGCTAGGGATGATGGGAGTTGTATTTCAAAAACAGCTGGAGACCCAAGTTTGGGAAACCCTGGTTTACACTGACTAGCAGGATTCCATACAGGGTTTCCTCCCAGTCCTACTGGCAGGTGTCAGGGATTGAACCAGAGTCCTTCTGTATGCAAAGCAGCTGTTCTACCACTGAGCTACAACTTTCTCCCATTGCTGCCAGTGGTGTGTGATGACCCTGTAACAGAAAAGTGCCTCCTTTAAGGATGCAGTAAATGCAAGAGCTGCCTCCTGGCCATCTGATTGAGACAGGGAGTTTTTAACCAAGATGCTAGCGGTCTTTCTGCTTCTCCGTTCCATCTCCAGTGTTTTTATTAATTCTGCACAGCTCCTGTGTCAGAGGGCCCCCTTCCAAGCTCCAGTGCACACCTGATGCGCACACTCCGGTGGCCCAGGTGGACGCTGTGTTCTAACAAGCAGCACGCTGCTGCTGTGCTGCTTAAACAAGACATCAAACATTGTTATCATCAGCCTTGGCTTCCCCAGGTTTCATCTCCCTGCCGTATATCTCTATTGCACTGGGGCTAATTTGGGAGAACTGCTGTGTTTGATGGGGAAAGCTTTGCTCGAAATCAAAGTTTGGTTCAAAATTGGAACAGTCTTGCTGTGCTCGTAGTTCATACACTAGGTCTGTCTGCAGCAGGTAAAATGAGCAAGAAAGGGTTGACTGACATGTTTGAACTGCGGCCTGGAAAAGGTGTCGGAGCTCAGTGGTTGAGCACATCCTTGGTACGCAGAAGAGCTCTTGTTCAGTCCTCAGTAAAAAGAATCTCAGATATGAGGGCTGCAAACTATTTCTGTTGTCACCCTAGAGAGCTGCTGCCAGTCAGAGCAGGCTGCACTAGGCCAGATGAATCCATGGTCCGACTCAGTATAATGTGGTTTCTTCTGTTTGATAACAGCACACATAGGGCTGTATATGATGCTGGTCCTACTCAGAGCAGACCCATTGAAAATAATGGCCCTGACTGACTTGGGACCAAGTCCTCTGAGCAGAACTTAGTTGGGAACAACCCATAATTTGTAAGTATTCCCAGATGGAGCTCTTGTGTCTTTCTGATTCATTGGAGGGTTTTTGCCTGTCAGATAAACATTACTGATCTGAAGAAGGATGTCAGTATGATGAAACAAGTCCTTCTAATGACTACCTCATTGCCTTGTGTTACGTTCTTTGACTTAACCTAACAAACAAACAAACAAACTACAGTAGCTAAAAATGGAGAGCCATGGCTGTGTTCCAAAAGAGCCTCTTAGTTTGCCAAGTTAATTCCTTTTTTTTAAAAAAATAATTTTTATTAACAGGCCAATCACATCACATTATCCAAATCACATTAGTTCCAAATTATACAGCCAAATTTTAAATTTTGTTGGGGATACCCATACATCAAGCTCCGAACGAGTCCAAACATCACTTATATTGCTGCTTTAATTAAACAGTTCTATCCAGTTCAATCCAGATAGTCCTTTATTACTTTCTTCATCTTCTTGTTATTATTGCCAAGTTAATTCCTATCACCTTTTGTCTCAGTCACATTAGTTGTCCTATTTACCTTACTTGAGTTTCTCCATCCTGTTTTCTAGACCTTTCTGCACCACCTAGTTTTCCCAGTTTGGTACAGGTTGCCCTCGGCTTGTTCCTTTCAACTTAGTGCTCAACTCTTTTCTGTAGAATGCAGACAATTTGACGCAGCTTGATGTAGCCCTCATTTTGCTGCAACTTGCTCCTTCCTGTAAATGCTGGTTTCAAACCAGCTATCCCTTCCTTGCTGGCTTCCCAGACAGATAGAAATAATGCAGTCTCGTCTGCTAGCATCTGAAGCATTTGTGTCAGGCACCTTTACCTTCCTGAGCTCCCTGGCATATGAAGTGCGGCTGGACTACAAATTACTGTAGCTACAGCACACTCCAGTCTATTTTCTGCCATTGCAGCACCTCTAAAAAACAGTGTCTTTTTAAAAAACAGTTTTTGTTCCATGTGAAGAAGCTGGGAAGTGCTTCATGCAGCCTGTTAAATACTTGTCCTTGTTTATAAATGCATCTCCCACAGAACTGTCACCATCTTCCCTAAAAAGGTCTCCTGTGCCTTTAAGCCCTGACTGATGGTGAAAAATTCAACTGCTGCTTTCCCTTCCAATGTGGTTCTATGACTAGAAAGCTCCACCTGTTGAGTTTCTTGCAGACATGCAACTATGAGAAGCACAGAGGGGCTTGGCATGTGCAGATGTAACACATGGGCAGCCATGGTGTTATGTACTGAGCTGAATCCTAGAAAAATAGGATCTAGAATGAAGCAGTCTGATTGGTCCGCAGGAGCCACCCAATCCAGCTCCAGGTGGAAGTGAATCCGCGACCTGATTGGCCTGCAGCAGCAGCCCAGAATTAGCCAATCACGCGGGGCCCATTGTGTAAATAATGTATATATAGCTAGACATTTTGGGGAAAGTTTCATTCATTGCTACTATGAGCTGAATAAAGAGCATGAAATTCACACTCGACTGCGAGCATATTTCATATGGCTACATGTGTATGTATTTCTCCAACTCATGTGTGAACACATCACAGGTAAGTGCTGAATCTTCAGAACTAAGAGCAAACATTTCCATGGGACCCAGTACTGGGAAGCAAAAGTGCCTCTATGAAATGCACCTTTAGTCTTCTTTGTGGCAAAATGAATAAACTGAACTGAAGCTTAACATTTGCTTGTTAGCCTTCGAATCATTCTTACCGTTTTTCTTTGTGTCCTTTGTATTCTTTCAGGGCCTTCTACACAATGAGACCAGCAGAACTAGGTACCGTAGTTTGCAATCCTCTCTAATATGAACATAAGTTGTCATTGTCTGGTTAAGGGCCCTGATAATCTTTGTCTCTGCTACAGCATGCTGGGAACTCGTGTTCAGTTCATTTTTCAAAATGACCTCTGAGCCCGCATTTTGTATGCCTACATGCCTAACCTTGCTTTTGCTTCGCTAAAATAGAAATCAAAGAAGCCTTATTGCCTCTGAGTGGATAGAAACCTTTCCAAAGAAGAGCTTCTCCATATGTGCCTCCTACAAGTAGGTTTCCTTTTGTCTCAAGTATTGTCTGCTGTTTCTCCCAGAGAAGTTGCTTTAAGATTATATACAACCACTCTGGAGTTAGCTGCTCTGGCTGTGGGCGCGGAGCTGAATGGGACTATGTGTCACTTTAAATGGTAAACACAGTGGCCCAGTTCACAGGTAATGCTGAGCTAACTCATGGCTTAGCATGAGCAAGCAAATGTGTAGGCTGCCAGAGAAGATATTGTGTCCCCTTGACTCCTTCCCAGCTGTTTTGCTGTTTGGATTTTGCTGTGTTCCACTGGAACCCAGCCTTGTGGCTTATGTGGGATATCTAGCCTCATATAACCAACATGCTTAAGTCTGATTAATGCAGGAAGGGGTTAAGACCACAGAGTAAGCTGTCCTGCCAGGCTTAGCTCACCTTAGGAGGGACTAGGTAATCAAGCCTTTGTTTCCCTCAAGTCTACCTTGTTAGTGTAATGTGAACAATGGGTTAAATTACACAGCGCTTGGTCTTGAGGAGCACATTCACTATTTAGCGGGAAGAAACTCCAGTGAAAATCCTCGTTATTACATATTTTTACATGGCTGTTTATTTGTATATATTTTAAAATTTTACATATGGATGTTTTATGATAGCCTATATTTGTAATGCCTAATAAAGGTTTGGAGTACATCCTCCGCCCCCCATGTCTGAATGTTCTGAGGTAAGAGTGTCAGGTGCACTGAGTTACCATAGCAACACCAACAAGGTTAAGTGAATGACTTGCAGAGTCATTCAGCCTCCCATTGGTTCAGAAAATATGCCTGTGTGTAGAGATGGATATAATAGTCTCTAGGGTATTACTTTCATTATGTCTGGTCTATGTCCTATTGCAAATGCTGATGCTATCCTGTTTGATGTCAGGGTCTAGGAGCAGGAAATCTCTGAAGACTCTGCTGGGACTCCATATAGTTTGCTGATATGTCACACAGGTTGAGGTGTAGTGAACTACCAAGTGACAAGTCACCAACGTACCTGAGAAGCTCAATGTATGAGGAAGTCCGAGCTGGTTGCTCTAGACCACATGGTTTTCACAAGCTACTCTTGAGTTCCTATACCAATAATTTAGAAACTTTCACTACTGTAACTAAGTCAAGTTTTACTGCCTGTGCAACTTTTTCTGAACGCTGTTTGGAAAAGCACATGAAACTGACCTTTAGAGACTTTGTAAGTAAACTATTTTTAACGTACCAAATGTGTAGACTTTGTCTATGCTAGGGAAAGAGGGAAACTTTTGAAGGATCTGGAAGGGTATATTTTAAAGGTCTAACAGACTGGTATTTCTATGCTTTACTTTGCTTTAGTGATTTTAAATCTCTGCTGGGGTTCTCTCAACAAAGAGTACTTGCCCCAAACTTGCATCTTGACATCCAGAAATTCTCCTTTTATACTTGTTTTTCCTTGCCACTAACATTTTAGCTCTCTCCAGACAAACCACAAGCTGCTACCATGGTTTGTCCTATGGTTTACAGCTCATGGTTTGTGTGGAAGAGCTAAACCATGAGCCTGACTTTTGACAACTTGCTAAGCCAAACCATGACTTAGCACAGGGTATCACCAAAACAACTTGGGAGGAGCAAAGCAGTTCTGATCTTCTCTCTGAGAGCCTCTGCATCTATTTACCTTTAAAAATATAGTTCTTGAAACATGCAGAACTTGCCAAGAAAAGCTGCAGTGCCCTCAGTAAATAGAAGCTTTCAACTGGAAGGAGCAAGGCTTGCATCATGTTACTCACTTAGAGCTACCAGCCCCACCCTATAGAGCTTTTGGTTGGAGGGCTCTTACCCAGTGGAGTTTGCATATACTGCCACAGCCCCACCCACTTCACTGAAGGGCAGGAAGCAATATTGTCTCCCTAGGCCAAAGCTTCTCCCTTGTGCCCAAGGCTCCTGGCAAGATCTGTGAAAAATTTGTTGCTGCTATGTTAGATTTACCCTCTGCTGCTAGTTTATGGTGGGTTTCTTATCCATCACCTTAAAACAAGAGGAAATGGCACTAAACAGGCAGACAAGGGCAGATACCAATTTGTATAATATTTGCATACTGGGAGTTGAGTCTTATAAAATG